TATATACATATATACACACATATATACATATATATTTTACAATGAAACCCAAATCTGAAATAAAATAAATACTTGGAACATCTGGTCCAAGGCCCTCCTAGGAGCCCAGCTATGCCTATGGCCACATAGAACACACATCAGGAAAATCTCACCACAGAGATTACAGCAGGGCAAGAGGCAAAAGCTAAATCAGGGAGTTGAAAGGGAGGTCTCAGTCCCACATAGTTAATACATCTGGCACTGAGCAGTGACCATGGAGCTTGCTGTTTCCAGAAAAAGGAGAGAAAGTTCAGCACAAAGCAGAGTGGTCATAACTGATGAGTATTTACCAAGCACTCATTATGTGTTTGAGAAAACACAGAGACTCAAGAATAAGGCCAGGAGCACTCAGAATAGAAACTATTGCTCAACTGCAATTTTGCAGCATCTTCCCTTTCCCCACTTAGCCCACCCTCTATTTCCTGAAAGCTTCACCCTAGAAGCTCTAGTACATTTTGTTTGTCACCACTGTGGATTAAACCCAGGACCCCTGCATTGAGCTACATCTCCTGCCACCACACACACACACACACACACACACACACACACACACACACACACTTTTTTTTGTTTTGTTTTTTGACACAGGGTCTCACTAAATCCCTAAGTTGCCCAGGCTGGACTTGAACTTTTGATTCTCCTGCGACAACCTCCTAAAGTACTGAGATTACAGAAATGTACCCCCTACTCCTGGCCTCTACCTCATCTTAAGGGATTTCTAGATAGCCAAGCTGCCCTCCCACTATAAAATTCAATCAATCAGTAAAACTCTTCAGTGGCCAAAGGAAAGACATGCCATTCTTCCATTTTCTTCCAAAATGTAATGAGCCTCACCCAATTCCTACAGAATCTTTGCTCTTTGGGGACATGCCCCTGGGGCATTAAAGATGGGCACTGTCCTTGAGCTCCTGAAGAGCTGACCAAGATAACAGGCACCATCATGGGGTGTGGGAAGTTGGCATTTCCCATTATCACTCAAACAAGGCCTCATTTCATGCCCACTAGACCTTCTCCCTGGGGAATGGACCCATTTGAAAAGCACCCATTGAACGCTGACATCTGTCAGCCCAGATCCAGAATTAAAGAGGAAGCATCGATCTGGGGATTCTCCTCCACTGGGTCCAGCACCAATCCCTAAAGAAGCCATTCAACCCATCAGACAAGGAATGGGGGAAAGACAGGGTAAGCGAGGTATAGACAGACAGGAAGCCGACCCATTGCCACACAATCTCCAGCTTGCCCCAAACAGAACTGTGTGACCTTATACAAGTGTCTCCACTTCTCAAAGCTCTACACACACACACACACACACACACACACACACACATACACACACACACCATCTCAGAAGTATACAATTCACATTACAGGATTCCCTGTCATTTCTATTCCCAAAGAACTGCAAATTTCATCACAAATTTCATTAGGAGACTTCCCCCTTTCACAGCCCTTGTCCTAGACTTTTTCTTCTGATGGGAACCTTAGAGGTCACCAGCTCCAAAATCTTCATTTTAAGAGGCAAAACTGGAGGCCCAAGAAAGTCACCACACCCACCCATGGGCAGCAGTGGTGGAGCCAACTTTCAACCTCAAGTCTCCAGCTTCACATGGTTGAGAAAGTCTGTGTGCACCTCACCACCCCTGGCCTGTTCTACTCACATGTAGCGCAAATGGGGGTTCTTGGCAAAGGCTCTGGGCTGGATGCTCCGGAGTCCTGAGTTCTTGATGGTCCTGGGCAGAAAGGAAAAGAAAATCAGTAGTGCTCTGGGTGCTGAGACCAGGTCAGGCTCCAGCTTGGCCTATACCTCACTATCCCCATCATCCCTGGGTGGCCCAGCAGGGGCTCAGCAAGTAACATCTAGGGTCACACTCCTCAGGCCGGGTGAGGAATTGGGTAGCCAGTGGTGACGGCAGTTGCTCTTTACCTATTGGGTCACTGGGTGAGGACATGGATCCCTGATGGACCAGGAACCACAGGCCACAGCCCCTTTGGCACCTTCCCACCCACCCACACCAGGTTCCTCATCACTACCAATAATGAAGTCTTCCCAAGGAAGAGGCTGGAAATCTAGTGCTGGATGGGGACCTTCGCTCAAGTCCATGCCCAAGGAAGGAATAGCGGCCCTGGGTATGGCTCCAGCCTTGAAAGCCTGACTTCGGGGTGCAGCCATGCAACACTAGGCCCATTCAGGCTGCAGTAGGAAGTGAGGACAGGGCCTTGACATCCCCTAAATGGGTAGCACAACCTTCCCAAAAGAGGACCCACCAGAGGAAAAGGAGAAGCAGCAGGATTGCTATAACTGACACCAGTGGAAAGCAGACAGGGGACATCCCACCCTTTCCCCAAAGGGGGGTACACTCACAGCTTCTGGAGTCCAGTGTAGAGCTCCATGTCCACGGCATTGAGTGTGTGTAGGCTGCGCCAGTTCTCTATGTGTCTGTGGAAGGAGAGGACACACGGGTCAGAGGCAGAGTCAAAGGCCAGTGTCAAGTCAGCAGGGAATGACACCCAGGGCATGAGCTTACAGCCGAAGAGCACCAGCTTTACAGACCAATTTAAGTATGAATCTGGTGTTGGTCAAATGCCAGTCAAGCCTTCCACTGAGTCACCAAGGGTCTCTGAGCCTCAGTTCCTTCTTCTCTGTGGTGAGACTCTCTGAGAAAATGAACTGGATTCACAGGTCCTAAGTGCCTCACCCTCAGCTCCAGAAACACGGAAAATCCAATCTTCCTGCTTGGCTTCCTGACTCAGTTTCCCTGTTCTCTTTCCTTTGGGAAAGCTCTTTTCTACTCAGTGGAAAAGTCCAGGAGGATACACACCAGGCTTGGGCACCCACCAGGGTCCAAACACTGGCAGCCACCTTAGGATGACCACAGCCAGTCCATCAGAAGCTCATTCAGAATACCCAGGACTTGATTTAGAGAGCTTACTTTGGAGAAGAGGAGGCTCCACAAGGACCAGGAGGCACTGTGGAGTTGGGAAAAGAGTATGGCAGGTAGTGTAGGAGCCAGAGTAGCTTTGTCTCCAAGGCTGGATACGCAGTGGCTTTAAGCAAGTGCTCTGCACTCCCTGGGGCTCTCATTTCCTCATTTGCAAAGGACAGGGTTGTCCTAGATCAGCAGTTTCTCTCCCTTTTCATCTTGAAGATCTTTTTAGACCTTTCTCCTAAGAGGCCTCATGTTTAAGGAGGTTTTTTTCTAGCAGGCACACTACATTTATTAAGCAATAATTAATTCATCTTCTCAGATTTATTAACCAACGTTATAAATCACTGTTAACCAGAGCCTTTTATCAACAGACACAAACCAGTGCTACCTTGCCCAATGCATAAATTCCAGCCCAAAGCAAAGAAACCCAAGACCTCTGTTAGCATAAGGAGGCTTGTCTGGGTATGCATTCGACTTCTGTTAGTTTCTCAATATTGAGAATGCCAGGAACAAACATCCTTCATTACAGTTTTTGGGTCTCCAGGTTGAAAACCATTACTTTATTGATTACCAAGTCCCTTTCCTGCTGTAAATTTGTGCAAAAACTGACCATTCTCACATCTGTGCTGTCCCACAGGCACCAAAGGACCTCAGCACAACTTCCACAGCCTACCCCTACCCTCTGGGGATCTGACTCCCTGATCACTGCCCATGAGGTCTAAGGACCATCTCAGTCAAGGGTGCAGGAAGGTGACAGCTCACACTGGGTCAGAGCTACTGAAGGCATACTGTGGCCAGAATAGTGACAGCCACCTTCCCCAGACATCTACTTCCAACTCCACCACACCCATGGCTCTGCCATCTGCCACCAAGTCCAGCCAGAGCCAAGAAGCTACAGAACTGTGGCTGCCAGGGCCTCTGGAAGCACTTCAGCACTGCACAGTGACGAGGTATGCTGAGAGCATTTTTAGTTCCACATTCTGCCAGGGCCCCTACTGAGCAGGCAGAGACATTGGCATCTGCTAGGGACATGAACCAGGTGGTCAGGGTGGTGCTGCTTTCCAAATCCAAAGCCTTCTCCCTGAAAGCCTCATGGCTCCAAGGAAATCTGCCTGGTCTGATCCCACCAAGGCAGGGACCCTGGCAACATTTCACATGAAAAGGACACTCAGGAGGGGTAGGACCACCTGAGCACTAAGTGCCCCCAGCATCTTCTCCAGGCCACAAACTGCACCAGTAACCAAGCAGATTGCAGTGTTTGTACAGTATGCTGCTCGGTCCCAGAGTCCAGCTTCCTACAAGGAGCTGCTCTGCTCCCAAGAAGAGGCTATCAATCAAATTGTTTAAATAAATGAAATCATTTTCCTCAGCCCACATTAGCATTCCATCGATGTGTCTTTATGACGGCCTGGCTGTTTATCATTACTGCACTCTAAAACTTTGCTCGCCTCAGTCCTCCTATCCTCAGCCCACAAACTAAGCCTTCCCAACTTACACATGCACTGAGCCAGCAAGGGGACCAGTGGATGAACCCTGAGTGGTTCAGCCTTGAGGCCCATCTGGTCCCTCAGGAACTGTCCAACTCTGATGCTAACTTGAAAGTAGCGTAGATGATAATCAATGGGTGGGTAAGAACATGGGAATTTGCATTTCATATGATTTTCAAAGAATGGATGCAGACAAAAGAACAGCTCCCACTTTCTCTGTTGCTCCTGAGTTTTCCTAAATGAGGGGATAGCATTTTAACAGCCACAGTGCAACAGTTTTGCTAGAAGTTGGGGCTCAGCCAGCTATGCTGGTGAACGCCGGTAATCTCAGCACTCTGGGAGGCTGAAGAAGGAGGATTAGAAGTTCAATCCCAACCTGGTCAATTGAGTGAGAACCTGTCTCAAAACAAAACATAACAAAAGGGCTGGGAACGTAGCTCACTGTGAGGACCCCAGCTTAAATCCTCAGTACTGGGAAAACAAAAAAAAGGAAGAAAACAAGACTGGGGCTCTAAGGACAGCGAGTGGTTGAAGAGCTATAGTTTAGGTGCCAAATCCAAGCCCCTGACCACTTTGGTACAGCCTCAGAGCTAAAATTAGTTTTCACATCTTTTTTAAAAATGAAAGGGCCGGGGATTTAGCTCAGTATGGTAGCACCGCCACCTGCCTCACAAACACAAAGACCCAAGTTTGATCCCCAGTACCAAATAAAAAAATAAATAAAAAGATCTTTGAAAATCATATGAAATGCAAATTCCCGTGTTCTTACCCACCCATTGATTATCATCTACGCTACTTTCAAGTTAGCGTCAGAGTTGGACAGTTCCTGAGGGACCAGATGGGCCTCAAGGCTGAACCTATGTCCTCTCTGGCCCATCACAAAAAGCGGTGCCTAGGACCCAGCTGCCAGGATGTGCATCCCCACCTCATGACTACCTTTCCCTGTACCCCGTCCAGGTTACTTCACCTGTCTGTGCCTCTTCCTTCTCGCTTGTCAAATGAGGATAAGAAATATTTGCCTCTGAGAGGAGCAGAAGGGAGGAAATCATATGTCTGGCTAGGAGCCCTTGGGGGGCACAAAGAAGGCACAAGTCTTGACTGTTTCACCCCCCATCTTACAAACAACTGAGCAGTCTTTTCTCAGTTTTCAGATTCAACAATGACATCCAGCTTCTCTTGGTAGTCATCATTTCTCACCAATAGCTAATAAAAACCCCATATGGTAAAAGGGTGAAAGGATAGGAAACCTGTCATCTGTGACCTCCGGGAGTATGGTTCAAGCAGCAATGTATAAACAGTTTCAAGCAGGGCAGTGAGGCCATGTCAGTGCAGGTTCCTAAGAGGAGCGGGTCGCTCAAAGTGGGGACTTGACATTTGCTGATGACATCAGCAGGCGCCTGCCAAGTTCTCCTGTGACTCATCTCTTGGTACCAGACCAGCGAGGTCAGTTATGGCAACTCTGCTGGCTGGCGTGAGATATTAGGGAGGCCGCGCACTTAAGTGGAGAAGGCCAGCTCTACAAGATACAGTAAATAAATAAGATGAAGTATGAGAGTAGGTTTGGTTTGCTTTTGTTAGGAGTAAACAGCAGATATTTTTCCTAGTGCAATCACACATGGCTCCTCCCTTTCTGTGCTTTCCTAAATTATCTGGATTGTTAATATAGAACATTCATTTTGTCATTTAAAAAACAATCGATAACTATATATTTTTAAAGGAAGGTCAGCCACTTGAACCCTGTCCAGGGCAGCAGCTCATAGCTCTGTATCAGGACCCCAGGCTGGGTTGGCTCATGGTTGCAAAAGCTGCTCACAAACCACTTCTGCTGTGGGGTGAAGGGAGAAGAAGCACGCAGAGAGAGGCCCAGGATGTAGCATGGGGAATAGTGTGGTGGCCCCCACAGGGACCTGCAGCCCTGGTCTCCTTCTGGATGCCCCAGCTTCAGTCAGTATCAGGGGAAGGGAAAGGAGAGGGATGGCAGAGAAGTGGCACCCCAAGCTCCCTACCCCACTTTAAATTAACTGCCTCCACTTTAGGCTTCTCAAGAAGCAGTTCGGCCCCCAAAACACATCTGGCTGGCAGCAGACACTGTTGATTGTTACAACTGGGAAAAGACAGTAATACTCATATCTAGTGGGTAAAGCCCAAGGATGCTCCTAAATACCCTACAGGTGATCAGACAGCCCACAACAAAGTATCAGCCATGATGTCCCAAGCACTGATGTGGAGACACCCTGCATAGAGCTTCGGCCCAGGATCACCACCCAAGTAAGAGGCCCATGGCTTCAAAGAGCATCAATTCTGAAAGTGACTGCTTTGCAGCAACCACTACAAGGCCTCAGGCCGGGGTGCGGGGTGGGGCCTGCCTCTAGGCCATGGAGTCCAGGTAAGAGGAGAAATTCTAAAGCCAAGGCTCCCAGTAACTTCTCCAGTTGAGGGTATTATTTGTGGGGAAGGGAAAGAGCTCTTTGGCCCTCTGGCCCATGGCCCCAGCCAGGCTACACATTCCAGAGGCAATAATGATCTCTCCCACTGAGCTCTGGATGGGATCCACTAGCCAAGAGCCTTCTCCCTCCACTGAAAGTTCCTCTCCTGAATTTCTCAGGCCTCTTTGTTCCATAGAAATGTGGAATGCGCCATGCTGTGAGCTAGCTCAAAGCCGTTTCCCCACCCTCTCACCACTGTCCTTGCGTGACACCACAAAGTCACTACTCTGCCAAGAGCACACATGCACCCCTTTCCCAGAGATAGGAAGCAAGGAGGGCGAAACCCACCGCAACATCCATCGACCCCTAGAGACAGAGCCAGGCTCACAAGCCCCAGTGAAGTGAGAACAAGAGGCTTCCAGGTGGGACTGGGTGGGGAAAAGCCAGCAAATGGCTATGCAGAGTGTCTTCAGAGATAGGAGAAAAACAATCAGAAACGCAGCCAACAATCAGAGATTTAGAATAGCAACACCGAGCCCAGGAGACCCAGTACCCCAGGTTCCTGCTTCACACCCATTCTTGGAATGAGACATGGCA